TCAACCATTGAATATGCAAGTTAACATGGAAAAGAATATGTTCGCCTAAATATTAAAATGATGTTTCAATTAATTAAGTTTTCTTGCTTTCAAAACCCATTTAAAAAAATTAAAAATAATAAAATAATATCACCAAGTTAATAAATTTGTTTGACTACCTACTTTAATTGGAAAACTTGAAGGCAAAATATTTCCTTGCATTTACTGAAAATATGTTTCTGAAAATAAGACTAAAATTATTTTAATTCAAATAAAACGTTTGCATATGTGTAGTCTTTATTTCAAAATTTAGTTCTCATCTAACTTTTGATCTAGAGATGATCTTTTGATCTTATTTAACCCACTAGTAAAGACAAATATAAAGAATGTTTCTGTGCAAAAAAAGTAATATCTACCTTAATGATAATTTTTTGTATACGCGTACTCCTTTTTCTATTTTAAAACAATTGAAATCACATGTTTCACAACATAAAAAAGATCAACAGTCGATTTTGTCACAAAGTGATAAAATGAGTGTCCATTATGCTGCACGCGTAATTGAGAAACAAAGCATTTCATTGGTTGCATGTGACACTAATAAAAAATACTACTATCGTTATTATTATTACCAAAAAAAAATTATATTCATAATTATTGATTAAGATAAGATTCCATTGTACTTAGCCTCATTGTATTTATTGTTTTTAAACTGATATATCTATCAAGGGAATTAACCAGTTAGGAATTAAGGTTAGAAGTTTTAATGAACTAAAATCCTTGATTCATGTCTTATTTATAATAATTTTAACTACATAAACTTCTCTGTCCGCTTTTTGTTCTTTTGTTCTAATAATCTTTGTATCTATTAAAAAGAAAGAACTCTTTATTCTCCTGTCACTTAATATTGATAAAGTGAACAATTCTTTACTTGCCTGTTACAAAATAATTCTTTATCATCTCTTACTAATAATAAATTTAATTATTTATATCTTACAAAAAAATCAAAGGAAAACGTCGGTTGCATCATTTTCATTGGGCAATTATCACGTGAAAGACACGGACGTGCATTTTAGAGCAGTCATCACCGCACATTAATATATATCATTAACACATGATGACTTGGTAAGGCTGTTGAGGATTTATTTCTTCAAATTATGTGAATCCTTTATCAACAATCGAGACCTAAGGCCTTCAAAAAGTCAGTGTTGGCAAATGACTGGTCATATGACATATGATTTACATGATTTGTCATAAGTCATTTGGTCATTCATAAAGGGTATATGACTTATGGCATTGCATATTTTTTGGCCAATCAAAAAAAGAATTCCAACTTTTATTTTATCATTGCAAAATTCAATGATTATGATAATTATTGATTACCACTTGTAAAAAAATATGGTAATGGTTCTAAATCATCAACAAAAATACATGACAATTCTCATTTTAAGTTGACATTATCTGCTGGGTGAATATTATTTATTTCCACCAAAAAATCATTATCAAATCTTCTTCAAGTAAACTTTCATCACTATGATTTTCTAATTGGTTTTCTTGATTTGCTTCATCTCTCCAATGAGCAACAATTATATTCCATTGATTCACATTTCCATCAGAATTAGAATTCACTGATTCATCTTCATTTTCCAAAAAAAATCATCATAATTTGTTTCATGATTTTCATTTACAAATAAATCCTCTTCAGCAATAATTTGTACATCATCATTATCATTTTCATCAAGCGTTCTGTTAATTCTGATTGGTTAATTTATGACAAATGACAAATGACTGATGATCATAGTTTGTCATAATAGTCATATGACCAAGTCATTTACAAATGAATGACAAATGAATGACCGATGACTACATGTCATATGACTAAATGACTTGGTCATCTGTCATATGCATATCAGCCGATTTGGTTTTTTTGGGCCTTTTTTCAAACCTTATGTCTTATTGTGTCTCGATGTTAAACACAAGTATTTTTAATGTGTAAACTGGTCAGTAGAATGATAATTAATCCTAAAAAAATTTATTTGCTCCGCTAAAAAAATTATTTCACTATTCAACAGCCCGTCAAACCAATGGCTCCACCTCAAAACCAATGGGGGTTTGCTATTCATAACGTTATGATCATACCGTACTGGATTTTGGGGATCAAACAAAATCAGCGCATAAGGCCAACACTACAAAAAATGACGATATATTTGGTGAAATTAATTGTTAAAATAAATAAAACTTTGATTATTACTATTATTATGAACATGATATCAAGTTTCTTCACATAAGTTATATTAATATGATGGATGTTACGCTGTAATGGAATAATCTCATGTTAATATTAATATTCTTTAAACATAACATTAATAGTAATAGCATTAACAAAACTTGTCCCTGGGATGTTATGTTCACTTTGCAATTCATTCTTCTTAAATATTAAAGCTTCATAATATTTTAGATAATAATATATACAGCATGTATACATGAGAAGAGTGTATATTAAGGAAATTTAAACGTTTTTCATAGCTCTTTGCACTAGTTTATTCAAAGATATAAAAAAAATATTTAAGCTAAAAAATTCATGTAATTATGATCTTCTTTGATTTCTGTAATAGTCTTGTTCTGAATAATTAATTATTTTTTTGGTAGCCTTTCTTTGTGGTCGAAGACTCGTGGAACGTGGTGGTGTAGATTTTTTGTTATCATCATTTTTTCTTTTTCTTTTTACATTCTTTTTAACGCTATTATCATCTCCCTGATTATTACTATCTACCTTTTCCTCCTTATTATCACTATCAATGTCTTCGTCATCATCATCATGAATAATACGAAAGCGATTACGATTAGAAACACTGAGATTGCTGCGACTATTATCAACAGGTGCACTACGACGAACCATTTTACCCCGAATAATAGTACCACTATTGGTGTTGCTGCTGGTTTTTTTAGTCGTCACCCTACTGTTGAAAGCAGGTTGATATTTTCTATAGTAATGATTATCAGAATAGTCTATTTTTTTCTTTGTAACTGCTCTTTTTATCTTTTTCCTTTTAATAACAACAGTATCATTACTTTTATTTTTACTTTTCATTTTTTTATCATTATCATCATTACTTTTGTTTGCAACTATATCTTTGTTCTCCTCCTCCCTGCCCTTGTATTTTTCTTTACCTCCTATGTATTCATTATTTTCCTCTGGGGCATTCTAAATTTTAAGTTTAATGAAATTAAAAATATATTATATATATATATATATATATAAATATAAAAACATACACATAATATATATATATATATTTAAAAAATTTTTAAAAGGAAAAGATACCCCAACTTCTTCAATCTGCTCCAACTCTTTTTCAATCGGTCTAATCATTACATTCAAAGCATACTTTTCATTAACATCTTTTGAAGCCCGCGTATTGTTTATTACCTCAGGTGAACTGTGTCCTGATCCCATTTCTTTCTCCCGTATTGTCTCTAAAACCGATTTTAGGGCTCCTTGTTCAAAATTCATAATAATAATAAATAAAGGATGAAAAATTTTAGGCCCCGTTTACAGTATAGTGGAAGTTTGTTGTTACACGAAATGTTGTAGTTGTTATCTCTCTAAATTGGAGATCAAGTTCAAATCCAGTTTATCACTTACTTTTTATTGCCAGAATGTTTGCCGTGTATAAATTTCCACTATGCTCCTGTTTACTTAGTAATATAAAATAATCAAAAATATACGTACGTGTAACATATTTTACAGAGATCGTCCCGTCACTCAAAAAATATATAGAACCCCATTTATAATAGGGGTGTGTTCCATTCCTATTTCCTGTACAATACTAATACTTATTAGGTAATGGAAATCAGGAACAAATAAACTGGTTTTTGGTATTGATCTACATAATACAAGTTACGCGTTTTTTTAAAGAGATATTTTAATATAATCAATATTGAAATGTCAACTCATGAAGGAATTGAAGAGGCATTGTTTCTAAATCTATTTCAAAAAGTGGCTGATTCAGATGAATTGGATGAAAATTTTGATGAAGACGAATTAGAATATTTTGAAATAAATGGAAGAAGTTGTTGCCCTTTGAACTGATAAATACTTTGTTGTCATTACTAGTGGAAGAAGCTATTCTTTGAACTGGGTAAATACTTTGCCGTTGTTTTTATTGTAGAAGAAGCTATCCTTTGAACTAGGTAAATAGTTATTTTGCCATTGTCAGTTGAATACTCTGTTGTTGTTGTTGTTGTTGTACAGCTATTTTTTGATTTTCTCATTCTTTTTTTTTAAAAAAAATCGTTTCCGAATTTGGAAGTGAAACCTAATTCTATTCTTGCTCCTTGTTACACGATCTGATCAGAAGGAACGGAACAATATAATATATACCTTTTTCTTATTAAGGCACATGTCTCATATAAAATAAAAATTGATCTAACCTACCTAAATGTTTAACAAATTATATATAAAAAATATTTTTTGGTATAATTAAAGAAATGACTTTAAGGTATTTATAACATTAAAATTTGTATAAAATTTTATAGTTAATTAGTTAATTAGTAATGATCCAGAAATAGAATCACAAGAAATTAACAACGAAAATAATGAAACCAGTTCTAGTCAAGAAACCTTAAAAGCTACAAATGAAGCTCATTTTATCGGTGGACCAATTGCTACAGCTACTGCAATTGCAGCTGTAGCCTCGACCACAACCACAACCACAACCACTAATGCTGATATTGATGCTATTACTACTGCAACAAGTACTACAGCCACCATAACTAATAAAAATAATTCAACCTGGTCTTTCGCTGTTAAAAATAAAGTTGAAAAACTTGTTGGCGAGCATTTACCTGAATCATTAATACATGATAAAAAAATTGTCAATGCATTTAACAAGTTAAATAAAAATGTCAAATCTAAGCTTAATGATAAAGAGCTACATCCTGAACTTGACTGGGATGCAAAGGTTAGATTATCAAATGATCTTTGTGATGACGAAAAAAATTTCATCAAAGAACGAAAAAATCATATTCGTGAATCTTTTGCAAAATATGTTGGTGTTGATGTTGAGGAAATTGATGTAGATGATATACCTGTTATTGGTTTTGCTGGTAGTGGTGGTGGTTTTAGAGCCATGATTGCTACTACAGGTTATCTACGTGCTTTACAAGATTCAGGTCTTTATGATTGTGGAATGTATTTAGCAGGTAAATAAAAACATATCCCCTAATAAAAATAATTGATTGTTTATTTCAAGTTAAATACAAATTTTTTTTTAAATAAAAAATAGGTGTAAGTGGAAGTTGTTGGAATATTGCGCTTCAATATTCTTCTAGGATATCAAGTCAAGAGAATCCAATTGAAGCATTACTAGAGCATTTTAGAACTCGTTTAACAAACCATATAGCTAGTCCAAGAGGTCTATTCAAGTTACTCAAACATTCGCCAGATCCCGAAAAGACTGTTGAATTGATATTTGGAGGTTTGATAGAGAAAAAATTATCTGGTGCAGATATTGGCATTATTGATATCTATGGTGCTTTATTGGCTGCAAGATTATTATTAGGTGATGATTCACAAACCCAATTTAAAGATTTTAAACTAAGTGAACAAAAACGCTTTTTAGAAGGTGGTAAGAATCCATTGCCTATTTACACTGCGTAAGTATATACATATAATAATAATCATCATTAATGATAATATTAATAATAATTGGATTTATGTTATTGTTAAGTATTCATCATGCACGTCCTTGGAAAGATTTTTTGAATAAGGAGGATGCATCTTTAATTGAAAATTATAATCAAATATTAAAAAATCATCATAATCAGAAAGATCATTATCGATGGTTTGAATTTACTCCTTTTGAGATAGGGTGTGATGAATTTGAAGGTTAGTGTTCATTTATAATATTTTACAAAGAAAAAACCCCATTTAACACACACATATGTATATATGTATAATAATGCAGCATGGATTCCAACTTGGTCATTTGGAAGAAAATTTGAACTTCAAAAAAATCTTGAAAGAATACCAGAACAAAATTTTGCATTATTAATTGGGTAAAAATAAATAATAACGTTTCTGATTCAAAACTCACATTTATACTCATATATATATATATATATATATATTGTTAACATATATTGAAAAAAATTTTAATTGTTTAGTATTTTTGGTGCAGCACCTTGTGCTCCAATTTTAGTTGATATCAGGCAAATTGAACATTTTCTTCCTGATGGATGGCTAAAGAGAGAATGGAGAAAATGTTATGATGATGTAAGTATTATTAATAAATAATAGTAATAATCATATGTATGTATATCTAACCTATCTCTAAAAATAATAAAGGCAATGAAAAATTTGGGAGAACAAAAACAATTGAAATTTGAAGGACATCATGCAGTCCCAGCATCAAATAACAAAAACTTTTTATATCACTTGCACCCACCACCATATAAATTAGGAGTGGCAAATTCACCTGTTTTACATTTGATAGATTCCGGTGCATCCAACGATCTGCCGTTATATCCATTAACACATCCAAATCGTGATGTTGATATAATAATAGGATTTGATTGTTCAAGTCAAATAAATAAACATGAATATTTCGAAGAGGAACAAAAAATTTTTACTGAAAGAAGAGGTATCAACAGTGTACCTGTAGATGTTGATAGTAATAAATATTGTGAGATTTATGATTATCAAGCAAATGGTATTTCTGGTGACGGGTTTACACCCGTGTTCAGGAAGGATTCTTGTAAATTTGTTTATTTACCATTCTTGGAAAATTCAAAAGTTGATGATAAATTTATACCATGTACCGAAAAATTTTGTAATTTTGCTAATTTCACTTATACAAGGGATCAGGTTGATTTAATTGTTAGATTGGCTAAACAAAATTGGATGGAGGTGGAAGATAAAGTTAAAAGTGTTATCATTGAAACTTGGAAAAAGAAACGTGACGAGAGATTAAATAGACAACAATAATCTATCTATTTTATTTATCCATTATATTATTTATTTATTTATTTTATTTATTCTCGTTTTGTATTTTACCTTTTATTTGTTATATTTTTTTATTTATTATTATTGTATTTTTATTGTATTTTTTATTTATTTACTACTATTCTTTGTTACTTTGTTACGCGATTGATTGCATGTTTAATCACGTGTAATAATAATAAATTTGTTCTTCAATTCTCAACAATATTATTAATACACGCATTTATAATATTGTCTATAAATCACGGAGAATGAATATAACGATATAAATATTCATGAAAGTTTCGATTTAATGTTATCATTAGCAGAAAGTCTTCAAGAATCAAAGAAAAGTTACGATGAAGAAAATACCGAATTAAGGTTAGAAAATTAGCCATGTAATCCGTGCTTTGAATTTTCGTTATGTACTAATATAATTTATAAACATAGATATGGTGATAATTATTGTTATTAATATTAGTATTGAATATTTTAATAGAAAACGTGCTGTTTATACTCCTTACAGATCTATCCAGAAAAAATTCACATATTCAAAATTATATATGCCTATAAGTTAATAACCTTTGTTTTTCCTTTAAATGTTTATTATGATCAAAATTACAATAATCTTTTAACAATACAATTTTGTGTACGAAGTAAATTGGTTTGAGCAAACCAACATTATTAGTCTTACTGAATGTGCTAGATATGGATGGATTAATATTGATACGGATTGTCTTGAATGTGGATATTGTGGAGAGAGGTTATTGGTTAATACATCAGAAGATGTAGATATTGGTAATAATAAAAAATACATTAATATGAGCAAACAAGCAATATTAGGACTAACGTTGGTTAACTAGTGAGTGTTAACAACAATCACTAATGTAATTTGCTTTAGTGAGTAAGCAAATATTTGGACTAATGTTGGTTAACTAGTGGGTGTTAATGAAGTAGTATTATTGTAATCGTAAATGTAAGGCCATTGAACAAGCTATTTGTGTTGTTTTGCAAGCAAGTTTGCAATCGGCCAATAAATGTAATCAAGGGTAAATGACTGAAATAAATCGATTGCAAGTGAATAAAAGAACTTTATAACATTGCAAAAAGGCCACCTTTATTTATTTACAGTTATCTGGTACCATCAAGTACGTTCACAGATTCATCTGGATGAATGAAAGAGGGAACCAAAGTAAATTTGTAAGCTAATTTTAATTGATAAGCACCGGATTATTGCAATTAACTGACAAGAGTAGCCCAAAAGTTAAGCCATGATTGTTAATTAACCGGAATGATACCTTGCAATATCACTATTTAACAAGAATCAAAAAAACTGTAAAAAGTTTATTATTATAATTTAGCTTTAAGAAATAAAATAAAGATAAAATAAAAAGATAAATAATTATAATGAATAAATTTATAGTAGAGATTAAATTCATCAATTCTTCTTTTACTATTGTTACTAAAATTTAATTCATTAATTAATATTGTTAATAACAATTAATAGATAGTAATTTCCAATTGATTAATAATGAAAAATTTTATTCACCTTTTGTTAACATTCTAGAGAAAAGGGTTAAAACCAAGATCATTTAACAAACTATCATTACTTTTTAAGCTTTTAGATTTAGCAATCTCTTCATCTAATATTCTACTTGTATGATATGCATTTGGATGTGATTTGTGTGCTTGTTGCAAAGCACTACTACCACTACTAGTAGTATGATTACCATTATTATTTTTAATAATTTCTTCAAGTTTGTTTTCAGCAAAATCATAAAGCTCTCTACTAGTTGGTCTTTTTGATGGATCCACATCCCAACATCTCTGCATCATTTGCACATAATCATCAGGCATTTCAGATAATATTGGTGGTCGTAAACCTTCACATATATCAAAAATCAAACAATGATTGTGAGTTCTATTATCAAATGGTGGACAACCTGCAAATATTTCCCACATTAACATCCCAACACTATAGATATCTGATTCTTTGGTGTTCTTTTTGCCTCCAAGTAGCTCGGGTGCAACATATGATACAATTCCATAGACTTTATTTAATGACTTTTCATCAACTGGTCCACATAACCCCAAATCTGTAATATAACAATTACCTCCTTTCACAAGTATATTACCACTATGTAAATCACAATGAATTAAATCTTTCATATGTAATTGATATAATGCACTACATAAATATCTAAAGATTGTAATTCTGTCTTTTAATGTTAAATTTAAATGGTTTTTTTGTAAATAACCCCTTAAATTTCCTTCTGGATAATAATTTAAAACCATTGCATAATTCCCATTATCAGGGAATTTAGTTATACCATAGCATTCAACAATTAGTGATACTTTGATTTTACAATAATTCATTGCCTGAAAATAAATATAAAATCAATTAACATTATACAATATAGTATTGTTTTAAATGATAACTACCAACCTCATCAAAAAAAGCTTTTCCTGGATTACTTGAATCATTTAAACTTTTTAATACTACTTTTTGCCTTTCAAAATAACTAAATTCCTTTTTATTTTCATCATAATCCCAAATAGTTCCTCTTGTCCATGCAGCAGTATAAATTGAACTAAATCCACCTTCAGTCAACTTTGTTACTTTTTCAAATTGCTCAAAAGGTATCCATTCTAAAATATAAGTTGGCAGAGATGATTTCATTTGACATTGTTGAATAAAATCATCAATTATGTTATTTCCAGATGTCCAAGTGGTGAAAAGACTCTGTAATTGTAAACCAATACAACTTTCACAGAATCTATCAGAATATCTTGTCAATTCACACTTGTTACATTCTTTTGGTTTGCCCAATTTATATGCTGCATTATTTAATTCAAAGTTATAAATAAATCTTTCCTTGCAATATTCTTTTTCATTTTCAGAAAGCTCCTTGTTTTTTTTGACTAATGAAAAAAAATAATCTTTTCTACCTTCTCTATCAGGATTAACCAGAGCATTATTATACATTTCATTATAAATTTTATATAGAAATTTCTTTCTTTCTGGTGATAACGATAATAGTTTAACAAATGACATTTTATAAAAATACAAAATATAAAATTTGACTTGGTGTTTTTTAGAGTGGAAAGAATAAAGAAAGGTTGACGTGTTACGGTTCCTTTCTAAATGTTGTAATTTTGTGTAAATTTTTATATTTTGTGTAATATTTTTCCCTTCCCCAAATTTGAATGCACGGGAAATATTCTGTTGTAAAGACTTATTAATATTAAGACTTGAAATGGTAAATTCGGTGCAGTTACGAATTTTCCAAATATTTTACTAAACTGAATTGTTGAGGAAGGATGAGATCAAGCCGTTTTTTCTTTTTTTTTGCTGCGCTGGCTTGCAAATTGATTGTTAAACATTTTTGTTTTCAAAAATGATGAATGTTTGTGGTTATTTTACGTCGTCGTATCATGCGAATTCTCATTGCTATCTATTTTTGTTCAAAACATCAGTATTGAATGAAGCAGAAAGGAAATCGTGTTTTGCTTTAGATGTTTTTTTGCGCGGTGTCTATCGTTGACTACCGTTAAGTTTTTGTCTTGCTCTGATATTTCGGACCGTTCAAAATGACCAAAACTCATGGCCTTGACTTGGAGCCTTTACCTCAGATTCCGACTTGACACACAACGTGTAATTAGTATATTTTTGGGTCACGAGACTGGGATTCAAAAACACTTTTTTACATTTACTTTATTGCTATTGTTATTATCAGTCAATTCAATGGTCGATAAACAAACAATATGTACAGATTTTTTTTAATTGTTAGTGTTGAACCAAAAAAAATTTTTTATTTGATTTTGACCATTTGAGAGAGGAAACATTTTCCTTTCGGAGAAAATAAATAAAATTAATTGATTAATCTTTGCAACTTTTGATGTTTGCATGAAGCTTAGCGATATATTTGGAGGGAATCCAATTGACCCATTGACCTTTAATCAGGACAAAAAGATCTTTTTTTTTAGTTAACAAAAAAAACCTGAGTAGTTGATTTTTTTTTTTAACAATCGAAATTTGTAAATAACTTTTGATCACATGAGGGTTCTTATTTGCAAAGGATCTTTTATTAAATTTATTAAATTCGTGAACATTCCTTTTGTATATGTAATTTTTTTAAATAAATAGGTTTTTTGCTAATACAATGAATGAATAAAACAAAAATATTGATAATATGGCTGGCTAATGTTGATGCTCCAAACAAATATATAGATACCTCGTATTTGAATTTAACATGTAAAGCCAAATTATACATAGAACTCCATTTCAACTCGACCCTCGAATTCGAATACCATGAAAAGCAAAACCAATGCACCGTTTTTTTGGTTCACGAGTGGATGTAGCGGTATATTTGTATGTTTTTGGTTGTGATTCATTAGCCTCCTCAATCAATGCCATGGAATAGTCTATTTTTATTGAAGATTGTATCATTGATCATGAATACATGGTGGGATGCTAAGATAGTGTTAATTTTGATGCTCCGAACAAATATATACGCAAGCGATTGAGCCATGTGATTTTATAATATATGACACCAAAAAAATTATATAATACTATCTGTATTTCACGAAACTCGCTGTTACGTTTTCGTTTAAAAACTTGTTTTTCTTTGCGGAGAACTGAATGACAATTTTTTCGTACAACATTTTTACTTTAAGTTTTTCTCTAACAAGATTAATTGAAAAGCGAAAGAACAACTTCATCATCACCAACTCCAGTGATCGAATTATCGTGATTCAACAATAAAATAATTTCAGCATTATTTGAAGATTTAAAAGTGGCAAGAACATGTACCAAAACCTGTCATATGTGTGGTATGTAAAGCTCGTTCTAAGTACCAATATTGATCAACCTATGTTGCTTCAAATTCAGACACTAAAGACAGCTCAAGCATATTATTATTACTATTACACGTAGTTGACTAACTTCAAAAGTCAAAAATGCATCAATTTAACACAATCCATATGTATTAAAGACAATTTGATTATATAAAATACAACAATACAAGGATAGTTTTAATTTTAAAAAAGAAGAGGCATTTTTATTTCGAAAGAAATATACGGGTCATTGCACATCAGACCCTATATTAGGTAAAGATTATGATCCGGAACTTCATTTCAAATATAACACAAATCTTCTGTTCCAAATCATGGTAGAGAGTTGGTATAGAATCAATATATGGCATACTATCGATATCGTGTATGTTCCTTATCATTTTTTTTCGTTGGGTAAGTAAAAGTTAAACAATTTATAATTGCTTCCCACTTAATGCTTAATGTTTAATGACAATATAGAGGAAAGAGCATTACAAAGATTCCAAGGCGATTAGTAGGAAAGATAGATGATGGCTGCGTAAGATCGTTTTGTTCACCCCA